AAACAAATTTTTTTTTTTTGGTTTTTATATATACATTTCAATAACTAAGAAATCATAAATTACTACATTAATACCATAGAATTCCACCATAATTTATCAAGCTTAGTAACTAAGATGTATTTTAGTCTAAAAAAATATTAAATTTTGAGTATACTAAAGACACACCCTACCTCGTTGAAATATTGGTTCAAGAGAAAGAAATGCTGCCAAGTCCATTAAAATGGCTGAGAAAGCCACTAGTGGGACATTCTGAGCTTCCGATTGGTTATTCATATCACATATAGAAGTAAGCGTATATGTGGAAAGAGGTGGTTGGGGTGTCACTGTGTTTGATTTATTACATGAGCAATATCTCAGCAAATTGAAGAGATAAGAGGCTCTTATTTTATATTTTTGCTTGTCAGTATCGGTAATGTGAGTTTCTAATTCATTTGAAACTATAGACTTAGTATTTGGACATCACAATCATCTAAATGAATATCACAATTTTCATTTTCTTTGCTATACCACTAACTATCAACATACAGTGCTATGAAATGCTTAAAATTAACAAGTGGAAATATGGACATTCTTTTCAACTCTTCATAGAAATTGACAAGAACAGTGTTATTTGTCTTATATGTGTAATTTCACATCTTCATCTTTTTACTTGTAGTTTATTTTAATTGTTAATTTTCCTTTCCATTTCTATGCCTTTTATTATTAATGGAGTTATGTCAGCTCATGCCCCTGTGAAGCTAGATACTTATCTGGGAACTCCTGTACACTCGTGTGTTTCACTACAGATGGTTTGTGCACACGCCATCTTATTTATAAGCTTTAGTAATCCAGATTAAAAACAAGTAAACTTATACAAAATCATTACACCTTTCAAATATGCATTTTAAAATACAAATAATACATTAAAATGTAAAAGTAAAACATAAATGCAATCTAATTGTCTAGCACAATAATACATATAAGTCGAGAACGCTTGCAAAGTGCTATGTACATTAAAGTAGTGGAAGGTTGCAAAAAACATGGCAATACTATTTTTCTGCCCAGATTTTTTTGGAGGCCATGAACGTGGGCGTCAGACCATGTGCATAACATATAGTTATGGGATCTGATGTAGTGCTATAAGTTCACCCAGCAATTTTAAAAATTTTATCTTTTAAAATGCATAAAAATGGGCAATTTACAATACCTATGCAAATTAAAGGTATGAGAAATATCAGTGAGTGTATGTGTATATATATATATATAATCTACAAACTTTACTCTTTAACAAACAACATAGTTAACAAACAAAGAAATTTTTTTCTTACATTTTTTCAAAACTCAAAACAAATGAAATGTATCTTTTTATAAATAAGGATGAAACTTGAAACAAAGTATCAAAGTTCACAACTATTCATACAGTATGAATATGATGAAACAGATACATTTTAGAAATGTTTTTTATTCATTCAGAATCTTGCTGTCTTAATATCTTTAAAAAATTAGATTTTTTCCTTAATTATTCCGTTTACCAAAGGAGTCAATAAATTAGTCTGTATTACTTACTTGGACTTTGTTTGCAACATCATTATTGTAGTAAACCATTGCCAGGTTTTGAAGTTTTTCCTGACTCATTGTGGAAAACAAATAGGTGAGAATATGGCATAGATTACTGGAAGATCTTTTTTACACTTGCGGAGGTAACAGGTATGGTTGCAAAGGTTTTCACAAGTTGACAAATAGTGAGGTAAAAGTATAAACGCAGACTGATATTCAAGCCAATGAACCAAAGTTGAAAGATTAGTGAAAGGAATGTTTTCTGGAGGGATCCATGCTGGACAGTTTGTGTGTCTCTCAGCTAAAACAAGATCAGAATCAATACCATAGAAAAATGAAGCTGTTTGAATCTTTTTGATATCTTCCTAGGCAGCCAGCAACACAACATTTACAAGAGCTGACAATATCTTTGATGACTTTTCTTGAAATCACATATTTATATTTTTGGTAATGCTGACAATCACAGGGTAATAAAATTTGTTCAAATACAATGAGAAAGAGTTGGTATATACAGTTGGTACCTGCGGTGGTTCTCCCAGTTCTTGAAGTCTTTTGGAGCAAGTGCAAATAGGAGGTGTTTGTGTCTAGCAAAATACATATTCAGATTTTTCATCAGACTTCTCTTTTACAATCTTCACTTCCATTGCGTATTTGTCTGCAAGTTCCCATAAAATTATAAGGTATTCAGCTGTTTTCTAGTTTGCGAGAGTTTTGATGACAGATCAAGCAGTTGCTTGAGCTGTGCTTATATAAAGTTAACATGACAGAATATATTCGAGAATCAGCAGGCTGAGAATGAATTTGTAGTCTAGAATGTTTAAAAGAATACCTCTAGAGTCGGACGTTAATTTTGAAGATGACTCTTTTCACAATTATCTGCCCGAATTAGCCGTGTTAACCATATAAGGCTATACGGGCATGGCTATGTACTCCTTGAGAGAACAATGGATTTAGATTCATTTCAGAACGAAAGATTACACATATGGTTTTCATTACAGTACCAATATTCAAGAGATAAACCTAATCGTTCTGTTGGTTATAAGCATGCCATTAAACTTCAAACTGTTTCATAGCAATACAGCTTTGACTTTGTAAGTGGCTGTGGCTAGCCTTGAGGTGAAAAAATCTTTTAAAGTAAAATGAGACAGTAATGTAAACCACACATATGTGGTTACTTTGGCAATCAGAAGGAAGCCTATACAGTGTAGAGAGACAGTTTCTTCTCTACTATCTTAAAGTTCAGAAATTGTAATTGCGAGCTTATCATGTGACAGCAAAAACTGAAGTTTTACTTATTGTTTTAGATATTTCTTTTGGAATAAAGGAACAGAACTTAAATTATAATGTACTTGATAATAATAATTTCATTAAAATACATTGATAGTAACGTGGTTTAATTGAATTTTAAAAGATTTTTATTTCTGCCAGTCTAAACTATTTAAATAAAATTTGTATTTCTGTCTCTCCAAAACCTTAAATTTTTGTCAATATTTTCAGTCCCAAATTGGGGGGGAGGGTCTAAAGCTTTGGCTGATTCTGGTATTTCTTTATCTTCCTCAGTTAAAAACTGCTTTAGGCTTTCATAAAACTCGACAGGGTTATGACAATGGTTTGTGCCTTCTTTTCAGCTGGTATTTTTTCTTCAACAGAGATACCCATGAATTTCAAATTTTCAGCTGCTTTGAGAGCTTCACAATAGTAGGGTCCACTGTTAGGTTTTCTGTCTTCAAACAACTGAATTTGCACTTTGAATTTATTGTATGCAGTGTAGAAATTAATGTTACGTGCTTGTAGTTCAATGCTAATTTGAACAATTCTTGCAACGCATTGCACATTAAAGCGAGACCTAGAAAAAAGTCAACATACGTGATATT